TCCAGTCGAACGATTCCAGCCATTTGTCGCATTTCACATCGCACTGACGACACGTCAGATCGGCGCATCTTGTGCCAGGTCAACGCATGTTGTTGCGTTTAGATTTAGAATTGAGTACCAAATACCTTCTCTACCGAACTCGCTTCTTGTAGTGGTTAATGCCTGGCATCTCTATTTCCCAACAGTGCTTTACCACCTTCAGTCATTCCGACAGGCTCCGATCTGTGTTCCTTAAATTAGTTTCTATAATAATTGACAACAAACTGCATTAATCTCTTAGACAGTGTTGATTGTAGGCGTTTTTTGCAGAAACCAAATCGGGCTTTTCTCAAGAGGCTCGGCCTTGAATTGAGCCAGCTTCTCATGTAAAATCTTTACTTTAGGGAAAATGACTTGGCTCTGTGTTAATTTCAAAGGATTGTGCGTACGTAGGTTAAAATCGCTTTGCACTGATTGCTTTAATGTATCGTGGGCAGTTCTGCTCAAACCGTCTCCGTACTCGTCAAATCAATTAGGGCTCCAAGTCGATTAGCTTAGGATTCGAATGCGAGGTCGGTGGCTCAAACCGCAACTGCGCGACACACGGAGACCATTCATTAACAGATTCCAAGTTGTTTAAATGTTGCCTCAACAACGCCAGATTTTTCGATTTCAAAAAAAATTGCTCTTTTTGTTGTTAGATTTAACTTGCCGTCCGTGGGCATTGATACTGCAAGACAATGCGCCTAATCATAATTCGAAGGACGTAAGTTGCAAATAACCGACTTACAGTAATCAGATTGTTGATAAACTGCGCACATCCAGAAACCAATGCTGAGGAACTCGCTTGCACAAAAATTTGGCAAATTCACAATGCCGTGCGATCCCTTTTCTTCGTCTTGAATATTCAGACCTATCTTCTTGAATTGTGGTCTGGATAGCTAGGCTTGGGTCTTATGGGAACTGCCCCAAAAACAGATGGTTTGATTTGGAAGAGTTGGGTTCTTTAATGTGTCGTGAGTAGTTCTGCTCAAAGCATCCTCGTAATCGTCAGATTAGTGAGAAACTACCTGCATCACATCAAGCGGCGGTGGCGTTAATACTGCAAACCCAGTTCATTTCGCATGCAAGCCCTTTTGCAAGAAACAGGCTTTTGAGAGAGAGAGAGGGGGGGTGGTGCGGTTTGAGTAGGAGGGAGGGGGGGGAGGTGAGGCGTCAAATCCGTTCATGAAGGCACACGTGCGCACACTGCCCCACTACACACAATAGACCTGACGCTAGTATCGAAGATTTTCCGTGTAAAACACATCCGCAAATCAAT